CATTTTCTCTTTCAACTCGTTGGGTTTGCAGGTTTGTTTCTGTTATGCAACTGTTTGTCTGTCAAGCGAGTCTGAGGATTTGTGGATGTTTTTCTGTTATCTGCTCGGGTTTGCTGACTCGTATTTGACATCCAGCTAACAGCACATTCTTACCAACTGCTACAAACATGCAGACACACTAAGGACTACTTTTACAACAAGATAACTTCTTCATTTAAAATAATCAAACGATGAAAAGACAAACTTATTTGCAGGCTCACTCAGGTATTCTATGTTTCCAAAACTTTTCAGGTGAACCTTGGACTTCTAGCGGTACACAGGATCAGATGTCATTTTAGCTCACTATTTGAATATACAAATGCACAGAGACTTTCTGTGGACACCAGAGGAGAGTGGGTGCTTGAAAAGAACAGGTACAGCGAGTCACTGAGTTTAGAAAGTAGGCGTCTCTCATTGCTAAAATCTGGTTGAATTTAGTAGATTTTCTTTGGACAAAACAGAACCACACCACAACAAAAAAAAATAGCTTCCAAAATTTTTCAGGTTCAGCACTACTTTTGAAGCTAAATATGTCTTAACAAGACACACAAACCTGTCCAGAAAGTACAGCCTTGCTAACCTGCAGGTGAAAAGACACGGAACATCTATTAGGCCAAGTATTAAAAAACAGTTTTAGACACATAGACACTATCATGCTTACGAGGTACAAAGTGAGACCATTTAGGAGATGTATTTGTTTCATGAATAAGCTATAGCCATAGACTGCACATCTTCATAAACAGACTTCCACAGTGAGGAACATATTGTTGTTTGGTTTGATCCCTGTCCCTGAAAATGTCCTGCAAAAGTCCTGGAAAATGATCTTTAGAAACCAGTGGGAACCCTGTCAATGCGTTTGTGGTTGTATGAAGTGTGCGTTTGATTCAACATTAGTATCATGCTGACAGCCACATTCCAGGGCACGTGTTGTGAATTGGCCGTAGATGAAGATATGCACACTTAACAGGTAAAATATTCAGCAGAAAGAATATCTAAATAAAGGTTAATGTATAATAGCTCATTTCCTTTTCTGCAACTGGGATATTTCATTGGCAGTTTCTTTTCCCCATATGATCATTCTGTGGTGAAAATGGAATCAAAAGCACTTGTAAGGATGGAGATTTTTTTCTGTATTTTCAGGATATTAAATCATCTCAAGGGGTTGACAGTGTCCCGCCTAAACTGAAATACAAGTATTAGATTACTCCTAAACCCCCCAAAAATCTCCCCCGCACAGCAGCCGCTCAGTGCTGCATGATAGTTTAAAGGGTGATAGCACAAACACACGACAACACTTACATGATAATAGCAAGCGAAACTCTATTTGGACAGAGGAAACGGTTTTTAATTTCAGTCCTCAGCAGATCAGCATCACCCTTCATTCACCTGCCCTGCCCTGCTCATTAATTCACATTCCGCTCTAATTGGGCGGTGGTGTGTGTAATGGGTGCAGTATTCGTGTGATCCACATGTGGAATAGAAAAGAAAGGACTAACAAAAGTGACATCGGCGAGAGTGCCATGCATTCACAGCTCAGTTTCTGTCAGCAGGATGGCCATGATAAAATGTAATTAAATTATGGAGGAGGGGGTCAGCTCCCTCACCTCATCACACAAGTGTCTCGAGCCCTTTCACCAAATGTGTTCGATTGCTGCTGTTGAAGCAGCTGCTGTAGTCGCTCTAATAATGAGAAAGTTCCAATTTAAAAGCCATGTCATCGTCTTTAGTATCTGCGTATATTTACTTCAGAGAGTAAGTGAAGAAACTGTTCTCCTCTGCACCATCTTTCTTTCTTTGTGAGTAAGCATTTGTTTTTTTCTCGGTGAGTCACTCTGCAGTCTGCCTGTCACCGAGGTTGAATTAACATTTTTTCTCCTAATTGGTTCTCATTCTAAATGAATCAGTGGAGAGTACCCACAAAGAGGCTATCTGTGTTTGTTTTGCATTAGCAGCATGGTCTGGTAGGCTTGAACAGCTGCAAATTACATATTGAGTATTCAAACCAAGAACTGTTTTTTTTTTTGTTTAGTTGTGTTGGAAATCTTGGAGCGCAGTTTACTAAAAGGTTACCATCTGTTTTTAGATGGTGGGTGGAGCTGTTTTTGTGATAAGTGCGTTCAATAATCCAACAATTTTAAATTAACTATGCTTGTTACGTAAAATAAATGTTTGTTATGTATCTACAGAAATTAAGCAACACAACTATGGTTAAATGAGTCAATGATGGCTCACAGGAGATGCACACGGTGGCCTCCTGGGTGAAAGTCCTGTGTTTGTTTGACGCGTCCAGCTCTTCCACATGTTCACTGCAGACTTCAACAGTTGCTCTGACTGTCTAATAATGATGTGGATGGGTTTACATGAAAGCCTGATGAGTCTCATACAGACGCTAAAGGGTGTGTCGGGTTGCAGACGTCGGGGGTCACTGACAAAGTTTGAGGGGTTGTGAGTGAGAACGCAGTGGCTGCAGTTTGGCAACAGTCTGTGAGTCTTTATCAAGCCAGATGAACAAAATAGTTCATGATGACAGATGCAATATGTATACGGGTGTTGTATCAAATTCATTTTCAGTTTGCCATAGGCCACTGTAGCCTACATTATAGCTTTTATATGAAAAAAAAAAATGCTTTCTTACAAAAAAAAAGCTTTCTTACCTAAGGATTATATAAATGGAACATGTGGTCAAATTGTGTATGTGATGATGCATGTGAGAGCTGGTGGGAGTGGGAGTGGTGGGGTGGGATGGGATAATAATTTAGCTGCCTGTATGCTTCAGGACCCCCGGTGACTTACATATAAGTAACATATGCAAATATACACACACACACACACACACACACACACAGACTGCTGCAAACGTTCTCTGCTTTTCACACTCGATAAGAGTCAAAGCGTTTTCATGAGTCGCCTTTAAGTAAAAGCTGCTGATTCGGCCACATTTTTAAAGCTCCATATGCTGTGTGGCTCTGCTCCACTGAGTCTCTAATTCCTCTAACAGTATTTTTTATTCCCCAACCTAAAAGGGAATCATTTAAGACTCAGTCCAGGTGTGTTACCAGTGTCAATAGCAGCCCTGAACACTGACACTGGATTTGCTGATTGGAAAATGTGTTTGCAGCTCTCAGCTTCACTGCACCTTCATCCTCCCTCAGTATCACTGTAGTGCTGCTGCTGATACTCTTCAAATGCACAACGTGTCCTTCACCTGCTGCCAACTGCATTTTGTGCTGCATTTATTAAGTGTTGGATATAATTTATGGCTAAATATACGTCATCTGCCAGAAGAAAAAGCAAACTAGGATGATAAATATTTCATGAATGTCTACGTAGCTTTGGCAGTCTAGTGATCATTCTCATTGTTTTCTCCCCTCTGCTGTTGTTTTGCTCTAAATGCGTCACTGCATCGTTTCTTCACATTTGTACTGTGCTTATGAATCAGTGGTAACAAATAAAGCTGCGTCAGTCTCAAGATATACCGTACATTTATTTTTCTGTTCTTGTTCATACATAATTTACCAACTCTCACTTTGTCGTATTACACGCTGGTCTATGGCAGTATTTATTTTGACCAGGGGAAATCAGCTTAATTTGGACTGTTCTTTGTTATCGAAGTTCTTAAAATGTTGACCTAAGCACTCAGTGATGTATTATTATTCTGGCTCATTTATTGTCTAATGAGCCATTACACTATTTGCAGACCCTCGTTGTACCAGTGTTCTCAAAATCTTTTTGTTTAGCATTTTTTGAACTGCTGTATACTGTTCATGTTTTGTTGATGGCATAATATTGAATGTCGAAATGACTCCCGACGCAGAGATCCATCATGAACACAAAACCAGGGAAAATCAGCCAGTTGTGACCTTTTTTCACTAGTTCACAGATGACTAGTGATGGGCTCGTTTTTAGGGCGTGGCCCTTCAGAACGGGCCGATTGCTTGGCCCCAGGAAGTGCTGCTTACAGCATTGTTGAGCACCACTAATCCATCGTTGACTTTAGGGAAGTGAAGAAGAGTTTGCTTGTAGTATGTCCAGCAGCAAAAGTGAGCTGCAGTCGATGAGCCTCGCACTGTAAAGGGCCCACTGCTGACAACTGCCCGACTCAGTCCACAGAGCCCTGATGATGCTTCACAGAGCGCTCCTCGCTTGTTTATTCAAAGTTTATTAATATCGAACATGTCACATCTTCAAATTGCACCCACTTTGACATTGCACGCCGTTGGTTTGAATAGACCTAAGTGTGAAGTAGATAGAATGAGCGGTTCTCCAGATATGTGAAGGACACGCACACACACATGTAGAGATTCCTTGCTTTATAGTGAAATAGATGCTAACATTAACAGACAGTTATATTGTAATGTACCGGGCATTACTTTAGCCCCCTACTTGTTTTGTTATCAGTCAAACCTCCGGACAACAAAACATCTTGACTCTTAAAACCAATGAAACAACTTGCCAGCTAAAGTCTTAAATGCAACAGTGACGGCAGTGAAGTAAAGTAAACACTGTACAGCAGCGTCGACACAACAGTTAAGGCCTTACATGCGATACGTGTTTTTTCTCAGTTTTTTAATATGCGCACGTTGGCTGCAACGTTGCGGAACGATTAAACCACAGTGATTTAACACAAAAACACAACAAAAGTCCACACAGCTTAACAATTTTACCTGAAACGAGGGCTCAGAGAGTTGAAACGACCTCCTGTGCGCCGCAAAGTTTCGTTCGAGAAGGATTTTTTTTTGAGGAATTCTGCTGATCCGGTCCCTTGGTTCTTCCCGGTTCTGCCTTCTCTTTCTGCAATGAAAGCGATGACTGTGGGAGATCTGCGCACTGATCCCACATCAGCACTCTCTAATTGGAGAACCTTGGGAAATAATAATATGGGCCTGGTAGGGGATGATCAGCTTGGAGGCGGCCCATCCTTCACATGCTGCTGACCATATCTTTCTACCTCCTCATCTCAGGTGATTAGAGAAACCCCCCGGACCCTGTCAGAACCTCCGAATCAGCACACTCATACACTGAGGTGAGTGTGTGTTTCAGTCTGTAATCTGTGCATGCATGGAGTTTGATGTGTGCTTGAGTCTGTAACGGCACAATGCTCTACCACTGGTGGAACGGAGTATTGTTCATTTCAAGTAAGGTCTTGGCAGCACTCAAATTTATTCATTGATTTATTTACTCCAAGTTGGTAAACAAAGCATCTCCATATGGATTCAACTCAATTTAGCTTTGGTTGAACTTGGATTTTCTATAAATTTAAAACAATTTTTTTAAATTTTTGCAACAAAGCTCTGTACTTGTTTTAAACCTAGTTTTGCTAATTTCTGATTAGAACTAATCTTTTTTTGTAAAATTAAATTATTGGTGCTCCTTTATGGTGCAACACGGTCCAAATAAACACTGAAAGTTGTCCCCGGACAATTCCAATAGCTCTTGTTGTCGACTGCAACTTCATTTCATGTGTTTTGATCCAAAGTGCATTTATGTTTAATACCAACAGGATCGTCTGCCAATTCCTAGATACTTGTATTAGTAGGAAACAAGTCTTTATCATGGCGGTTGTACTAGAGTACAGTACTTAAGCAAATGTGTTACTGAGTCTACGACTGGTGATGCAGCATCTGCTTCAGGGGTGTGATGGGAGCCGGCCACCTATCTCTCTGCTGGCTCTGTTTTACTTGTTGCGTTTGAATACAAAGGCACAGAGAGCATTCGGCTACATTCTACCACATATTGTCAAGATGCCAGAAGAAGCGGTTAAACTAATTTCACAGGTGTTTCCTAAGGCAGGAAAACAGAAAATGGCCTCATGAAATCAATTAAAAGCACAGAGAGAGGCTATGCCAGAAATAACATCAAATGCTGTCATGTAACTAGACTTGAATGCTCATACATTATTATTTTTTGCTTCCTTTGCCACCAATGGACTGTAAGATGAAAATATGTTTGTTAGTAAGCATGTCAGCCGCAGTGTACATTTACTTTGTAGCAGCATCTCAGTGTGTTGTGGCTAATTGGTGTGGTTGCTTATCTTCACTCCATTCACAGACTGTGAATGTAGAGTGCAGAGGTCACTTCTGTGTTCCAATATCATTCATGACAACAGAGGCCGATAGAGATCCCAGGAGCTCACCGCATCATACATCAGATGGTACCTTGGCCATTAACCGTGAAGCTGAGCTCTCTTGCTTGAATGCTAAATCTCATCCACACGATACTGAATAGTTGATGGGGAAATACGTCACCTTTTATGTGGTTGTCCAATCAGTGCTGATGGTAAGAAGAAATACATTAAGAAAATTCAGTTCTCCTGCTCGCGGAGCAGTGCTGGCCGTGCCTATATTTACCAGGATGCCTTTCACACGAGCGGTGAGGTTGCTGTGTCTGATGAATAAACTCTGCCCAGGGACTGGCATATTGACAAGTCACTTAGATTTATATTCACCTTGCATGTCTGTGTTTTGAGGTTTTTGAGTGTTCACATTTTTTTCTGAGCTTTCTTCTTCCAGGAAGTTGACTGAGCACTATTTGGGTTTTTCCAGCAAGAACCTGCTTCATATTTAGTCATGTTTCCAAACTTTCTGAAAGCATTCTGACAGTGAATGTTTATTTTGTTAACACTTTGGGATAAAATGCTTTGCTCAAAGACATCTCAAAATATTTTCTGGAAGGACAGACAACTTGTACTTGTATTACTAATGATTCTGAACAAAGGTACAGTACATAGTGATGTGAGACTGGGTTGGAGAAAGAGAAATACACTAAATAAGAGGTGAGATATGTGGGAAATGTGAAAGAGGAAAGAAACATTTGAGAAGGAATCTGGCACAAAAAAAGAGATGTAGTAGGTAAGAAACAGACCTTGAAAGAGAATGCACTGACAGATTGCGAGTCTGCCGGAGGTCACGGACGACCACACGTAGCAACACACATTTCGGCACCAATGGCACCACGGAACAAAGAAAAAATCTATAAAAAATCACATCAAACCATCTTTTAACTCTTTTTGAACATGCATCGGAAACATATTACATTCTCAATAGCAAGAAAAAAATGCAGGTAGCACTTTCATTTTGACCCACACAGTGTTGTGTAACAACTACAACAACATTACAGTTACAGTGTATTGTATTATGCAGTATGCACGGCAGGTAACTTAAAATATTAATAATGGATCCTACTCTTCCCAAAATGCAATACATGTGTTTCAAAGTCCATGCCCCTTATGTAGACATCCGGCTGAAAGGTATTATAGCAGTGTAGTCATTATATGAAAAAAACAACAGCAAACTTAATATTTGACATGTTTAAAATGTATCCATGAAAACATCCATAGTCATAAAACATGTACCCCTGAAACAGATGTGCATGATGATGTATAAACACATTTTCTTATATATTTACTAAAACATTTGAAATTATTGAACCTGAACATAGACCTGATTCAAAAATGTGGATGACCCAAATAAACCTGCTTTTGTGGATAATGTTGTTGTGTAAACAATACACAGTCCCACTTGTTTACTGCTGGACAAGTGTGGCATTTGGTTGCCCTCTCCTGGGAGTTATATTTAGAAAAAAAAACACCAAAAGTTTTAAGAGTCTGCGGAAATATGCTAAAATGCGAAGACATGCGGAAGAGTGAGGAGGGGAGGGAAGTAAAGAAGTAGACTGGGCGAGGAAGAGGGGGAGGATGTAGGAATGGTGGCGGAGGAAGAAAAAGAGAGATTAAAATGAGTAGAGGAGGAGAAGCAGATGTGGGCAGGCGTAGGAGGATAACGTGGAGAGGGGCATATGACATCCTGGCACGTCTCCAAAGGCTCCCTGCGGCGAAGGCCACTTCGGAAAGCCGTGCCAACAATACAGGGAGGAAAGCAGAGAGCCTAAGAGAGAGAACAGGAGAAAGTGAAAAAATAAAATATGGAAAGAGAGAGCGAGCAATGCAAAAAGAGATGCTTATCCAGGACACGGGGATGCAGGGAAAAAGGGGAACAAAAAACAAAAACATGAACTCCATCTTCTCACTGCTGCCACTCCTGTGACAAAAACGTATTAAATCATTTAAATCACACAATAAAATGCTTTATTCTGGCTCAGCTGGGAAAAGCTCAATTTGCAGGAATGCTTATTTTTCCATAGACCTCATCAAATTAACAGTACCCCTGGTGCCTCGTGTTTCATGTAAAACATTTAAACGTAATAATAAAATTGTGTAAAAATTGCCTGAATCCCCAGTGTTTGGATACAGTTGTATAAAGCCCAGATTTTACTGTTTATAGTCACGTCTTGATTCAGACTTGAACTTTGAATGGAAATTTGCACACAAGAACTGAAGCCTCCGGAGGAAAATTGTGCCCAAAAGAAACTGATTTTACACTGAATAAGTTTCATCAGACGACTGTTATCGAAACCAAAATATGGCCAGACATCTGTGCTGGAGTTTTGACTTCACAGCTGGCATATTCTCAGGGGATTGCATTCAACAATTATCTCCCCAGGTAATAATTATTCTTGTGGGACTTGAGGCACAAGTTGGGGACGTTCCAGTCTGGGCCTCTATTGTTGATAAAGATTCAAGACGTTTTCTTTCTTTGGATTCTAGGAACATTCTTACGTCTCTCAAAAACAGGCCAGACCAAGAGCTCAAACACACATATGTGATGTCCGTGTTGCTGTTATTGGTGCTGAGAGGGTTGATGAATTGATTTTGAAGTATCTTGGCAAAATAATCTTTCTGCAAGCCTTTTGCAAATCTAAAATACCTCTTACTACATATCTAATCTGAAATATCGTCAACAGTTAGAGCTTGCAGCTTGCTTTGTTTTAAATGATACATGTCAGTATGTATAAGTTCACCTTGTGTACAAATAGGTGAACTTGCACCTAAATTAGGAATCGGATTGTAATTGAGCACTGATAGTTTTGATATTTGCCTCCTAAATAGAAGCAGCATAAACATCTGGCCTAAATAGAAATTACCTTCGAAGGAAAAGCACTACCTCTTAATATAACCTACATACATGATAACACTATCACTAACACAATCTAAAAATTGAAAATAAAAAGTCCAATTCAAGGGAAACAGCAGACACCAAGTGCTCATGGACAGCGACACTGACATTCTCTGAATGAACGAACTCTTTTTAGTGAACGTCAGTGTCGCTGTCCATGGTGCTGAAAAGAATCTTGGACATTTCAAGTGCTTTTAGATTACATCCCAAGTCATGTGGTGCACATTTTATTAATATATGAAACAAAACAATTACAAAAAACAATTTCTTCATATTTTAAAATCAAAACCCAAACATCTTTTCTTCCTGTGAGCAAACTGTGTGCTTATGTAAGTGTAGTGTAGCTATAAAGGAGTTGTTTGTGGAGCCACAGTCCTCTGAAGCTTTATATCGCTCTACATTTTAAACCCGCCCACTTTTTGGCGGCCAAATCAAATACAAAGGATTTTATTTAAATCCCTCTTTTAACTTTACACAAGTATTCTGTTTCATTGGAGACGTTTAAGACCCTTTAACTACCGTTTCACTGGGACTTTGAATGTTTGCATGCTTCTTTCATATCAAACAATGCATCCACAATTAATAAGACGCTCTCATATCTGCGTCCTGAATCAAAGCAGTGTCAACACGCTATGTAAGTGTCGTCATTGGATGACCCCCCCCCCCTCTGTATCAGACCTTCAAACGAAAGCAGACCCACCACAAGCGGTTACTCTTTAAGAAGAGAAACTAGCAGATCTCTGTACAGCTGCAGAAACCATGTACTGCAAGGATTTATTGTGTCAGGTTACTATAACTGAAATGTCATTGCTTAAAAATATGGTCACTATAGATACTATTTAAAAAATGCATTTAATATAATGAAAATCTCAAGGATTATTACTTGAAAAAGATTTATTTATCCGTTATCTATCCCTGCAGGTGACGCAGTTGAACACAAACGGCGTGTTAATCTGTGACCTTTCTGAAGGTGCCTTTGTTTACTAGGCTTTTCAAAAACATGCTGTAAAAT